TAAGTGAGGTGAAACTTGGGGGTACGCAAGACAAATTAGATTCCTGAAAGGGGTACAGTACTCTGGAGAGACTGAGAGCCACTGATTTAGACTGTTAGAAATCAGAGAGGTTTTCAAGGAAAGGAATGACTAGGGTTGAAAACTAAACAGCGATGGCACTGCCGGGTGTAATGCAAGAGTGAGATGACGCTTTCATTGTCCCTGCCAGCCCACTGTTTCACCACAATTCATACCACCTGAGAAAGCAAAAATTCTGAATCTGTTCTCAAACCAGCATGTTCTGTAGAAAAATTGCAGAGTGCTGAGAATAGGTAAGCAAACTGCATGTAATTTCTCAGTTAAAAATAGTTATTTTGCAAAAGGGTCCCAAATCTAGCAAGTCTAATCTCTCATCACTGTACTACCCTTTAATCATAATGAGTTATGTGCATACTTGAAAAACTGAATAGATGCCTTAAAGTTTTGTGAATTCTTAGAATATTATGCTATGTTCTAGGCAGCTAAGATAGTGTTATTCCTAAAACAGTAATCCAGTATCTAATGGATCAACCAACTGTACAGTTGCCATATTCTGTTCAATTGCCTGGGTACAACTGCAGAGCATAATTCTATTTAACAGTAGATTAATTTTAAATAAGCAATTAGCGTAGTTTAACATTTGTGATCCCAATTTTTAAAAAGCCATCACTGAAGAAAATTCATACTTCTTACCCAAAATTATGAGTATCCATGTTATTCATATGACCAGTATTAGTTACAACAAGAATTAGTCCCGGCCTAATGCTTATTCCTGCCTCAGTGTAGGAGATTGGACTAGGGACCCTATTAAGGGCCCTTCTAGTCCCACATTTCTATGATTCAGTATCAAATTATTGAAGAGTTAGGCCTTTTCCTCATTTAGTACATGCTTTGGGGCAGATTCTGATATTGAAGATGCTTAAGGAAATCCCCTTACTATGCAAGCAGTGACAATGAAAGTTAATGTGACTATTTATGGAATAAGGGGCTATTCAGTTATAAAGGGTTTCAGAATTGGGCTCTCTCTCTTCAGAGAACACTGTCAAGCTGTTTCATTACTTTAGCATACTTATGACCTTTTTGAAGTTAAATCCTCTCTTACAAGTATGTTTCCTTTAGTGTACATGCACATCAGATAAGTTTTCAAGGGTAGCGCATAAATAAATAGGGTTGCTGTTGTTTTAATTGTAAGAAGTGTTCTGGGGGGGGAAATAACAATCCAAAAAGTACAAGACAAGTAGCCTTAGCAAATGTAGGGAGACACGGTGCATGAGGTAACATCTTTTATTGGATCAATTTCTGTTGATGAGAGAGACAAGCAGTTGAGCTTATGTGACCTGAAGAAGAGCTCTGTGTAAGCTTGCCAGCCTGCCTCTCTCTTACCAAGAGAAGTGGATCCAGTAAGAGATATTACCTCTCTCATCTTGTCCCCCTAATATCCCAGGACCAACACAGCTACAACACCACTGATTATTAGCAAACATATGCAGCCAGAGAGAAAGCAGGTCAAGTTAGGTTGATACCAACAGCCTGACAGTCCTCCTTTAATATAAACTGAAAACATCATAATACTATAAATGCAGGAGTGCAGACACCTGTCTCGAGTACTGTTGTTTTGAATTAGAAAGAGTCTGAAGGAAGATGTAGTAAACAATCAGTATTCTGAAGCCAACATCTCAAATAAGCTCAGACAGATTTGTACAAAGGAATAATAATTTAATTTGAAAATATGCGCTTTTTGAAAACAGTTTATTCCTAAATTAGAAAAAAAATTAACTGCAGTAAAGCCCAAGACCTTTGGAACATTAACAAGTTTTAGATTTTTGCTTAGTAAGCACATATCCGAGAAATGCTTCTTATACTGGTTATAACCCCCATACTGGTTGTAAACATGAGGTATTAAATTGAATTTGATGAGGATCACACTGAAGTCAGTGGAATGCCTCGTGATCATAATGAGTACTATGTTCAATAGCAAGTGTTTACAGAATCCGGTCCATAATTTATGTGCTAGTTATGTCTCTGAAATGTTTCATATAAAACACTCTATACAGCTAATTGCTACTGGTAAACATCTGTGTAAACCTGATAATGCAAATCCTTACTCACAAGCAGACCCTTTTAAAATTAAAGAGAAAAACAACTGCAGGATGAGGCTGCGTGGGTTAACATACTTTACCATTATTGGATCAAGAGATATTAAACAACATTAAGGATCATTAAAGCATATGCATGTTTCAATTAATCAGATACTTGCTTTAAGTTTGGAATATTACTTGTATTAAAAAGAATTAGAAAAACATCTGATAAATTAAACTACCAACAGGCATAACTTTGCTTATTAAATTACAATACAATTTATGATTTGACTGTGCCAGCAAGAGCTCACGTCTTTAACTTCATCAGAGTAGAGATAAACTTTAAGGCTGCATAGGAACTAATCAGTTTACTTCAATTAGGGGTTTATAAAATTGAATTAAAGTATGTTTTTAAAAAAGCCTTAATGTGGACTCAAATTTGACAGTTTGACACTTGAAGCTATATTTTGAATTTATTTTTTGGAACTCCTCCATTTCTATTCAAAAGGTAAACAGGGACATTCAGCACTCAGATTTGCTCCCCTTGAAGTCTAACCATTCTGTTGTGGACTTCAATGGGAGCAGATTGGGCACAAACATGGTTCAGAGAGCTTCAAAAAAAGAAGCAATTTGCCCTGTCACCTGCAATCCAATATAAATAGGCATATAGATATTAAAATAGCAATAAGGGTCTGATTTAAATTCACAAGAGCCAAGAGGTTAAAAAAATAAGCCCCTTTCAGCATCTAAAATTCTCACTCTCAGGAATAAGCCCAATCTTCAGTGAGTAGTTCTGCAAATTTAAATTTCCTAATTTAAAGAAAAAAATGAAGTTGTTTGCTGTGGACAAAGGTACAGAGGGTGAAATCAGGATCTGATTGGCAAAACTCCTATTGATTTCAGTGAGGGCAAAATCTTACCCTGAGTCTTTGAGATGCAATACCGCTTAAGGGGCATCATTATGGGTCTTCCATTTACAAACAGCCCCAGGTGTTTCCAGGTATATGCAGTAAATCTGGGCATAACTCAATTCTTTAAGAAAGCACTAAAAAACAAATGTAGTCCATGTCATAATCTCCCAGTCCTCCCCTACCAGTATTCATGGGCCACTGACATATAACCAAGGGCGTTGTGGAGGGCCTCACACATAGAATCCCAAGGTTTCACATTGATAAGAAGCAATAGTTCATAGTATAACCCGAGCTCCTTTGAACAACAAAGAGTAGTGTGCAAAGCTGAGTTCTTTGAATCCAAAACCGATTTGGAGTTACCAATTGCAGAGAGAGCATCTAAACTTGTTTGATGCAACATTTTAATGGCCCCTAGCTCAAGCTTAATGAATTTAGTCTAAGTTTACTTTAAACAAAAAGGTTCCTTCACTGAGAACTTGTATCACATTTTTGTCTAGGAATTTTTATTATTATTATTATTCTGAAAGTTACAAACCCTAGAAGGTTATATTGGGAACACCAGAAGCACAAAATCAGCAGCAACTAGTGCAATCATCATGCTCTTTGTCTACACCGGGCACTTATCTCGAAAGTAATGTACTGGCCACAGAGGAGTACCAGATTTAAGGAAGTTATAGGTTGCTGCAAATCCGTGAATGCGCTCCTGATACACAAACAGCCAAAAGCCCTGTTTCTTCTAGTAAATTGGTATTATTTGTATTCCTCCTGAGAGATTAGATCCCCTGCCTTTATCTGTCTAAAGATATTCATAAAATCCAAACCGGGGACAGAAAAGAGAAGCATCCTTCTAGGAATAAAAATAAGCTAGCTAACAAATAGCAGCCCTTTTCTGTATTTAGCGACACGAAACTAACCCACACCGGGGTCCTCCCCCCACACCGATGGGAAACTCACCGGGAGAGAGGACAGCTGCACAGCCGACTCGTACTCGCGCGTACTACTCCGATCTCCTGCACCCGAGACAAGCCAGCTGGGTAAACTGAGGCGGGTTATTCTGGGCCACGCACTGATTCCACTCGGGAGCGAAAGCCCTGTCCGCGTCAGCAGAAGCGGGAGCGCCGAGACGAAGCCGCAGTAACCGCAGGGCTGCGCTCGCCCTGACCGAAGCAGTGGCTAGAACTGCGCTTCAGAGACAACGGAGGTGCCCTCTGTGGTCTGTAACTGCAGACCTGTCCGACCCTCTTCCCGGGGCTCCCGGGCAGCGGTGCATGGGGGGCTGAGATTTGGGAGCTCGGGTGAGAGGCGGGCGGCGGCACCGGTCCCTCTCCCTGCGGGGTTACAGGCTCTGCGCCCTGCCCTTACCTGCTGTAGCCGCTGCGTCTCCCCTAGCGCCGCGCGGCCGGCTCCTGCAAGCGTCCGGTGGCGGAAGGGAAAGTAACCCGAGCGCAGCTTCGCCCGCTCTGCAGCTGCGGCGGGAGGAAACGGAGGCGCTGCTCCCCGTCTCCCGGGGCCGAGCGCTCCGCAGCCCGCCCCCGGGGTCCTCCGCGCTCCGCTCCGCTCCGCTCATTGCTGGGCAGGCGCCTGTCGCGGGCAGCGGCTGCACGAAGCGGCCGCGGGAGAGCGCGCGAGGCTGCGCCAGGCGCCGCCGGCCCCTCAGCGCGCAGCCGGGGCGAGAAATCCGCTGCCCTCGTTGCCGCGCACAAGGGGAAACCTGGCTCAGGTGAACACACGGCAGCCGTTCAGCCAGGAGGGGCAGGCGGGCGGGATCCTGCAGCTGAGCTCCGCTGCGCGGGGATGGGGGCGTGAGGAGCCAGACAAAGCGCTTTGCACCGGTCCTACCACCCCCAGGGCCCGACACGCCTCAATTTATGCGGGCGGCAGCTGCGCACCCAATAATAACCAGGGAAGCCCGGAGGAGAGGGGCAGAGGGGAGGGCGCTTGCAAGGCGCTAACGCTGCAAGCCCGGGGACTTTGCCCAGGGAAGGCTCTGCTGGCAGTGAGCGAGGGGAGGAGGGGGAGCCCTGTGCTGGCTGCTTGGAGGGGTCTGCGTCTCTGGAGCGTCTTGTCCTGTGATTCGTTCCGAGCCGGGCTGGGCCAGGACTGCGGCGTGGGGGCCCTCAAAGGAAAGTCTGGGTGCTGCAGGGTTGGTAGCGCTTTTCCGTCTGGCTCCGAGTCAGCAAAAATACCCCGCTGCCCCGTTTCGGGCAGGCGCCTTGGCGTTGAAGAGGGAAATAATCCAGGGGCCTTTTCTGGTTTGCGCTGGCGACAGCGAGGCCAGCTTCCCCATCTGCTTGGAGCACAAGGCACCTTTCCTCTAAACCATCCCTTGTGTTTGGTGCAGAAGCGTTCGGAACAAAAGTTTGCCCCCACCCGGTGCTGGTGGGCGGCTGGGTGGGTCACCACGTGCTTCAGATCGTTTTGCGCTTGGTTCCCAATCTTTTGCACAGTTAACTTCGGTTGGTTGGGGTTAGTAAAGATCCGATGGGTCTGGCTGCCCTATGCTTGTTTTCCTAGTATTTCCCACTCGTGCTGCTCTGGCACGGCAGGGATGGTAGCAGCTAGCCATAGCTAGGTTCTTGGCCGTCACTGATTATCCAGACCGTACTCTGCTCGCTCGGGGTCGTATAAGAGGGTGTTTAAAACACCAGAGGTCACTCCCTATTAATGTTAGGACTTGTTTACACAGGGAGTTATTCCTCATAAGCTCCAGCTCGGGTGACCAGATGTCCCGATTTTATAGGGACAGTCCCGATATTTGGGGCTTTTTTCTAAATATGGACTCCTATTACCCCTCACCCCATGTCCTGATTTTTCACACTTGCTATCTGGTCACCCTAGCTCCAGCCCCAGGTGTGGTCACTGGAATAAGGGTGTCCGTAGTTGGAGCTAATCAGGAATAACTCCATGTCTAGACAAGTAGGTGTTACCACCGCCACTGTAGCTGCAGTAGTGGAAGAGTTTAAGGGGGAGGAAATTAGTACAGCGACTGCTTTTGAAATAACTAAGGTTTCTACAATATGTTGGCTAATGCTAACTTAGGTAGACACACCTTCTCTTTCCCTCAATTTCAATAGAATCCAATATTCTTCCTTTCCTGGACTGTAGGGTGATGTTGCAGTGCTCTCTTCAATAGGCGCTGTATATTCCACCTTTGGGAGAAGTGGTCCATACCACTGATTTGTAAAGCACTTTGCGTGCTATATAAATGTACATTTTATTTTAATTGGAATTATAAATTAGATGATGTAGTAACTGCAGTTGGCATTTGGAGGACAGGGAGAAACAAAAAAAAAAGATACATGCATGTATGTATACTGTATAGTATCCTGTCGTATGTAAGGACTAGCATGCAATATGCTAGTTTTCAATAGCTTGTGTTTTGGGGTAGGCTTGTGGAATACTATAGGAGAAGTATCATATCTACATCTCTGTTCCTTTCCAGTAGTTTTGTAATAGTAATGTCAAGCACGTATATTTTTTCACCTGTCTACCTAAGAAATTATTTTTTAATTCAAATGATGTTTCTTTTTGTTTTCTGATAGCTGTAAATGTGGAGCCGTTGGGATTTATTTTCAGCTGGCATTTTAATCATAGTCTGATCTTCTTGGAGTTCAGGTTTGAAATTGTAAAGTGTCCAGAAGCTTATTTTAAAAGTAAAGTCTGACCTTTCAAGAGAGTAGTGCTTTCATTTGAGACAGTCAGCTCTGTAAGCATAAATCCAACGTGCAAAACAAAATAAAAAAATTAAAGGGACACTGTCAAATGCAAGCACACTAATTTCTGAAGAAAACCTTTTACCTACTATTATTACAACATATACTATTATTAAATGAGAGGTTAAGAAAAATAGAGAAATATCAGTTTGTTTGCACTGTGCAATTATTAGCACTTCATATAGTCATTTTCACTGTTTCCTTAGCTTCCTCTATTGTTTGCGTGTGTGTTTCGCACAGCAACAATGGAGAAATGTTTTATAAATTAAGAAAATGTAACTAAACCCACAAAATTAGTAGATATTGCACTAATACAACTTTTAGCTTAATTTTGTAAATTCACTAGACATAAAGCTGACAATGCCCCTTTAAAAATAGTTCATTTAGATGTGGTTTTGGTAATTTACTTTTCAAAATAACGTCATTCTCTCTAACCCAATTATTATAATAAAAGGGTGCAGTTTCAGCTTGAGAAATCTCTTTAACCAGTAACTCTCCTTCACATCTGTCCCTCTCTTTTTGTTCCATTCGCTTGCTTTACCTTGCGTGTGGCTGGCATATTAATAGAAGACTTTTAGTTTGAGACCTACATAATTTTGCCTTTCATAAAATTCTTTGGCATTCTAACTTAAAAGCCTGGTAGCGTAATACAGAGAATGTTGTCTGTTACTTCCCAGAGAGATGGCATGTATTCAATCTACCCTTTCAGAGGAGCAGTCAATAGCCACGACATATAGACTAGGTAAGAAAATTAGGTAGAATCTTCTGCTGTTTCTGTGAGAGGAATTTCAGCTGTGCTAGACACTGAACCTTTGCTCGGTGCCCTAAATATGACGTAGCTGCACCGTGCCAGGGAAAAACTGTAACTCAGCATCACAATGGCTCCCCTGTTTCCCCTGGGCTGCTAGTGGAGAGAAAGCAGCTATAGCTTTTGTTCCTGGCTGTAGCATACTTTCACTTTGGAGGCAGTCTGTTCTCCTCCACCCGCACGCTCAAGTGAAGAAATGGGGAGGTGTCCCAGCAGGTGGGGTTCTTAATCACCTGTTTAGCTGCGTTAGGGCCAGGCACGATCTGTCCCAAAAGCACTACTAACAACTTTCCATAAATCCACACTCCATAGGTTGTAATACAGGGGGTCTCAAAATTTTTCCATCGTGTGGGCCATTTCTTAATGCGTATTTTGTGGGCTTCCACCCCTCCTCTTCCTGATCGCATTACACATCCCTGTGGTAACTGCAATAATTGCTGACATGGAAAAGTAATACAAGGGGAGTATGTATTTTAGCATCTTTCGTGCTATAAGTCTGTTGTCATTTTTTAAAAATAGTTAATCACACTATCTGCCTTTTTCCAGCTTCTTTATAATTAGGATCCTGGACATCTGGAGAAACATCTGGAAGCAAGGATAGCTGGTAACTATGACCGATCAGCTTTCCAGGGACTACTAACAATTGCTCTGGGCCCACTTGTTCCATTGACAACAGGTAGTGCAGGCTTAACACCTTAAGGGAAATCCTTAGCAAGGGCAGAGAGTCTGCTCAGCTAATTGCAGGATCCAGCTGCAAGCCTACCTTTTAACTATCAATAGGAGTATTTATATGACAAACAATGACAGCAACATATGATCAGAAACTGGAATGTATCAAAATGATTTTATCCTCTATCACGTTTTCATTTTGGGTCAGTGATATTAGGATTTATTAGTAATTTAAGTCTATGATTGCAGATTCTTTAGCCCTTTCAACACACCAAAATATTATTTGCATGTCTCATAGTTTGTGTAAAATTGGGATAATACTTGCTTACTCTTGCATGTGGTACTGTGATGATTATAAAATGCTTTGAAGATAAATGCTAAATATTTTTTCAAAGTATTTTTTTAAAAAAGGTATTTTTCTATTGAACATTGGTGCTTCTAAATAGTTTTATATTTCTGCCTTTGAGTTTATTGCTAACTGCACTGGACATGAGTATTTTAAAAATGCTGTATTAGAAAGAAACGTTTTAGATACACGAAATTTGAAAATAAGATAGTCACATTCATTTTTCTTCCTGATGTAGCAACCAATACAAGTTTAAAGACTTCTCAAAATTGTATGAAAAATTCCCATAGGGAAAAGGAATATGTTTAAAAGATATTTGAATTTTCTTGCCTAAATTTGGCATTTGATTCATGCGATTGCAACAATTATACCATACCTGTTACGTGGCATTCATTTTAGTACCTCATGATTAACCGAGTAATGTTTGTTCAGCACTTTGGTCATCTAGACCATTATATTAGTAACAATGTCTAAAAAATCTTGTGATTGGAACTTTATTTTGATACATAAGTGATTGTTTAGATGAGACATTAAACTGAGGTCTCCTCTGCCTATTTCTTCTGAAAGTTAAAGACTTAGGGAGACTTTTCTCAGAGAGCTAGGGAATAGCCCTACTGTTGTGATCAATAGTTCCCCTATAAAGATAAGAAATTCTAACCTCCAACTGTCAGTACATATTAATAGTACTGCTTTTCACTTTCTATAGCATTCTTCGTCCAAAGATTTCAAAATACTTTAAAGACATAAATTAATTAAATCTCCCTGCTCTCCTGTGGTCTAGATAACTATTATCTCCATTTTACAGATGGGGGACAATGGTTAAGGCCTGGTCTACACTAGAAAATTAAGTCAGCTTAACTATGTCACTCAGGGTTGTGAAAAGTCCACACCTCTGAGTGGCATAGTTAAATTCACCTATCCCCCAGAGTATACAGCGCTAGGTTAATGGAAGAATTCTTTTGTTGGTCAAGCTATTGCCTCTGGGGGTCGGGAGGGGGTGTGTGTGTGGATTACCTACACCAACAGGAGAATCCCTCCCATTGGTGTAGGTAGAGTCTACACTTACATTTTATAGCACTCTAACTTGCTGAAAAATCACCCTCCTGAGCGCAGCAAGTCTGAATGCTTTAAAGCGCTAGTGTGGACAGGCTCTGAGCACTGGGAGCCACGTTCCCAGTGCTCAGCGCTATTACCCTGGTGGGGGTGGATTACCAGGAGCGCTGGGAGAGCTCTCTCCCAGAGCTCATGCGTGACAACCCTCACACTTCAAAGCGCTGCCATGGGAGCACTCCCGTAGCAGTATGTTGAAGTTTCCAGTGTAGATGTAGCCTAAGGGTATGTCTACACTACGAAATTAGGTCGAATTTATAGAAGTCGGTTTTTTTAGAAATCGGTTTTATATATTCGAGTGTGTGTGTCCCCACAGAAAATGCTCTAAGTTCATTAAGTGCATTAACTTGGCGGAGTGCTTCCACAGTACCGAGGCTAGAGTCGACTTCCGGAGCGTTGCACTGTGGGTAGCTATCCCACAGTTCCTGCAGTCTCCGCTGCCCATTGGAATTCTGGGTTGAGATTCCAATGCCTGATGGGGCTAAAACATTGTCGTGGGTGATTCTGGGTACATATCGTCAGGCCCCCATTCCCTCCCTCCCTCCCTCTGTGAAAGCAAGGGCAGACAATCGTTTCGTGCCTTTTTTCCTGAGTTACCTGTGCAGACGCCATACCACGGCAAACATGGAGCCTGCTCAGGTAACTGTCACCGTATGTCTCCTGGGTGCTGACAGACGCGGTACTGCATTGCTACACAGCAGCAGCAACCCATTGCCTTGTGGCAGCAGACAGTGCAATAGGACTGGTAGCCATCATCGTCATGTCCAAGGTGCTCCTGGTCGCCTGTGTGAGGTCGATCAGGAACGCCTGGGCAGACATGGGCGCAGGGACTAAATTTGGAGTGACTTGATCAAGTCATTCTCTTTAGTCCTGCAGTCAGTCCTATTGAACCGTCTTATGGTGAGCAGGCAGGCGATACGGATTTCTAGCAGTCCTATTGCATCATCTTCTGCCGGGCAGGCAAAAGATGAGGATGGCTAGCAGTCCCTATTGTACCATCTTCTGCCGAGCAGCCATGAGATGTGGATGGCATGCAGTCCTTCTGCACCGTCTGCTGCCAGCCAAAGATGTAAAAGATAGATGGAGTGTATCAAAACAAGAAATAGACCAGATTTGTTTTGTACTCATTTGCAAACCCGCCCCCCGTCTAGGGGACTCATTCCTCTAGGTCACACTGCAGTCACTCACAGAGAAGGTGCAGCGAGGTAAATCTAGCCATGTATCAATCAGAGGCCAGACTAACCTCCTTGTTCCAATAAGAACAATAACTTAGGTGCACCATTTCTTATTGGAACCCTCCGTGAAGTCCTGCCTGAAATACTCCTTGATGTAAAGCCACCCCCTCTGTTGATTTTAGCTCCCTGTAAGCCAACCCTGTAAACCGTGTCGTCAGTCGCCCCTCCCTGCATCAGAGAAATGGCAAACAATCGTGCATCGGAGTTGAGAGTGCTGTCCAGAGCAGTCACAATGGAGCACTCTGGGATAGCTTCCGGAGGCCAATACCATTGAATTGTGTCCACAGTACCCCAAATTCGACCCAGCAAGGCCGATTTAAGCGCTAATCCACTTGTCAGGGGTGGAGTAAGGAAATCGATTTTAAGAGCCCTTTAGGTCGAAATAAAGGGCTTCATCGTGTGGACAGGTGCAAGTTTGCATCGATTTAAAGCTGCTAAATTCGACCTAAAGTCCTAGTGTAGACCAGGGCTTAGTGATTTGATCAAGGTCACACAGTGAGACAGCTGGAAAATGAATTTAGAGGGTGAGATTCTCTGCTATCCCTGTAACAGGAGCAGCACAGAGCTACGGCTGGAGGGGAGAAACTAAGGTGGCTTCAAGCACCTTAATGCCTTTTGGATACTGAGCTGCTCCAGGGGCTGGAGAGGCCCTCAGCATAATTTAGACATCCCTGAGGCCTAAGTCACAGCCAGTCTCACTTGCCTGATGTATGGGCCTTAGGGCTACCCAGAATCTCTGCAACATATCCAGCCCCTAGCACATCCCTCCGGTTCCCAACTACACACCCAGTATGCCCCCTGCACGAAGACTTGTGAGGGGATACTGGGGATTTTAGAGTCCTTTTACACCACTCTGGCCAGCATAAAGTTGCTGGATAGGAATTCTGAGTGAGATCCTCACCTCCAATTTCCCAGTTTCATGGTTGTATTATTTTTAAATATATATTTAATAGCCGACCCCCAACAGTTTTATACCACATGCATATAATGATGTGCAGAATGTGCCAGATTCTGATCTCCATGACTCTGGGTATGTTGGCGCGTCAAGCTGTTGGTGTGATTCCCAGCTCCAGGAGACATACCAGTGCTAGCTCTGATTCCAGGCTTGCTATAGGGATTGTCTGGAGCTGCTGCTTCTCGACCCAGAAACCCCAAACTCTGTAGAAATAATACAGAGGTCTCTGTTATCTGCTGTGTTATCATCTTCAGAGATTCTCCCAGTGGGGAGAGAGACCTGGTACATCCCCACAGCTAACCCACCCCTCCTGTTTCCCTTGCCCACCCAGTCTCTCCTGCCTATATCCAACAGACCACAGACTCTGCATAGATGTCCATATGTGTTCAAAAAGGGAAAGGGATAAAAGTAGAAATACAGTTCCCCAGAGGTAGCTAAGCTCCCCTTTCCTTATCGGAAGAATCCTTTCCATATAGAGATCTATGGGGGGGAGTTGTGGGAGCCTGTTTTATCTTTTCTTATGTGTATTAATCTTATTACATTGTCCAGCACAATGGGTCATTCTGGCAATGGACAAATGGACAAATTCTTGGTGAAATGTAGTATACGCAAGCTAATTTAATAAATTGTCCATAAAATAAGGGTATAAAGACCACACACCAGCCATGCCTGAATGGTTGATACTCCCATTTGTGAATTACTATAAAAAGAATTTTAAAACACAAACATTTGGGTTTGGAATTAATCTGCTGTCAACTTGCAGAGCGGCAGGTGATTTTAAAAAAGTAATAAACAATGAAACTGAAGCAGCTATCTGTACAGTAGGTGTTTGAGGAACAGATAATTGAACAATGGTCAAGCTTCTTAGAAAGCATGCCTTTGATATGCAAGCAGTTCATTATGTTGTGCCTATCATTTCAGTAGGCTGATGGTAGAATAGCACTTTTATTGTTTGCTGTGAGGTCAGAATAAATGCTGCTTTGATGCAAAACACAGGTAAAGTTGAGCCAATTTTATTTAAACTTAGAGAAGATCACTTCATTTTTCCTCCAGTGATATTTTTTCTTCTGTCAAGACATCTTTGCTCTCTCATAGATTCATAGAAGGTTAGGGTTGGAAGGGACCTCAGGAGGTCATCTAGTCCAACCCCCTGCTTGAAGCAGGACCAATCCCCAATTTTTGCCCCAGATCCCTAAATGGCCCCCTCAAGGATTGAACTCACAACCCTGGGTTTAGCAGGCCAATGCTCAAACCACTGAGCTATCCTTCCCCCCCCCCCCCCAAAAAAA